GCTCATGACATCATTGAGGTGCTCAAGCTCCAGCGCCCCGACAAGGCGGTGATCCTTTGCTGGAGTTGAAAGTACAAAAAGATTATTGGTTCTAATGGCTTTTTGATCTAATAATAAATAAGAAATATTTGTCACTAGATTATCATGAGATAACAGTGCAGAGAGGTGCTGAGTAACAAAGAATTGTTTACTTTAATTCTAGAAGATTTCGAAAGTATAAGCCCCCTCCCCATGCTCCCCCCAAAACCCACAGCAACCACTTCTCCAAAAGTTACAAAGGTGTTGAGGTTACATGGAGTATTGCCTTCCCTTATATGAATTGCCATTGATGGTGAGATCTTCCTCAAGGTACGAGAGGTGATTCCATTGTCCAAACTGAGACCAGTAGTTTGCCTTTCCTTTGCCAGTGCCCAACCATTGGAACTGCCTCCACTTGCCCCCTAACCATCTCCTATTCTGGAAGCAGATAAAGCATGTTTTATTTGGTTATCTCTTTTTTTAAGAGAAGGGGGATCTTGGATGTTGCCATGGTGAAACCTAACATAATTTTATCTTATTATATTAGTTTTGAATGTTTATTTGTATTGTTATAAATTAATCTGCAACTCTGGTATATTAGGTTGGGTAGAAAGCTGAAACAGAAATAGTTTAAGTAAATGAAGAAACCAGCACCTGTGAGTAACCACAAAGAGGAATATCAATTTCTACTTTGTTTCTTGACATTTCTTCCCTCAGAACAAGCGCAGGAATTAAAGCTAGTCTCTGAAAACACTTGTAGCTCTCTGGTTAACAAATGAAGTAAAACTAGAGGTTGAAAACTATCAGGGTGGTTAGGGAAAAACAGAAATTGAGAAGAAGACTGATAACAAGGGTGTAAGATGGAACAACAGAAGAATAGAAATACAAGTCTATGCTCCTCACTGATCAAAAGATCTCCTGACTGTAGAACAAGCTCTCTTACTAATGACAGAGCAACAGCCAGTAAACCAACATGGAGACCTGCCATTTCTTGTTTCAATACAACCTATCAGTTCATTGATGTGGAAAACCCCTGTTTGCTATGGCTGTCTTGACAATATTGCTTTTAAAAAACAAGACATGGTCCCTTTTGTAAAGCTTTGGGTCATTCGGCCTCCCAACTCCCAGAAGCTCTAGCCAGCTTGTCCAATGGTCAGAAATTCTGGGAGCTGAAGTCCAAAACATCTGGATGACTGCAGGATGAAGAGGCCTGCTTTAGATGGTAATTTGTGGTGGATTTCATTGCGAACCTTTGCAGTAGTGCTATGAGGAACTCCTGAAAAAGTGGCTCCCTCAGAACTACTTTCACCAGTAATGAGTACCTATACCGCTGACTGTAAAGTACCTGTTCTCTTTAGTATTCATACATTATCAGCTAATGATATTGTTAGTGTATGATTTGGAAGATGAAACCCCAATGAAAGGAAAGTAAGATCACTGTTCTTTTTCTTTTTCAGTTTTGTTATAGCCAATCCACCTTACGAGTTTGAACTTGTGCCGACAGACTGGATCTTCTGTTTGATGCAGTACGACCACAATGCTGGCCAGTCCCGGGCCAGTCTCTCCCATTCTTCCCATTCTTCCTACACATCTAGCAAGAAAAGCTCATCGGTTCATTCTCTCCCAGCAACTGCAAACCGTCAGAACCGCACTAAGACCAGGGATTCCCGGGAAAAGCAGAAGTATGTGCAGGAAGATAGACTTTGATACGTGTTCCCACTCCCACCGTGTGTGAAGCTGTATCCACCACCCATACCCTCCCAATTGGTGTGTCCAATAATAGCTTTCCCTGTTCTCCCCAGCCTCCCCCCATGGAGTTCCCATTTTATACACACATTTTGCATATGTATAACAGTGTGCATGTGATTGTCATTTTTATTTCAATACCATAAAACCCTTAAGCACAACAGCAACAAAGCAGACGGACCAAAGATTATTTATGATGCAGAGCAGGTGGAAAAGAGTTAAAACCAGATGTGAATAATTCCCTACAATAACCTCTCTGCATATCAGTTTTAGAATATGTGTAGTGCACTATCAGTTTCAGAAAGAAAGTTATTTAATGTCAGGGTGTTGTTGTTAAAGGGTACAGTTATGAAAGAAGAAATCCACACACATGAAATTCTACTTTCCCCCTGCTTAGTTTTCTAATCATCAGGTAAACTTATCTTGAGAATGAGGGCAGGGGGATCATTTTCTTGGGCTGGAAACAGCATGTGCCTTGCACCATTTTGTATAGTTTTACTCCACCTGTTTTTATACAAAGCAATATCAGATCTTGTGCACAGAACTATTTTTTTAAAAGCCTTCCTATTAGAGTGAGTGTTTTCTTCCTTCCAACACAAATATGCATAAAATGGATAGGCATATAATTTTTCAATTCTCATGATTGAAATGAGTTTTTTTTTTTTAAAAAAAAGTTCTAATTGCATATTAAATTCTGCCTATATTGCCACACTGATAACTACGTTTTCTCTACTTTAATATTTGGGATGAAAAGCCACATGCACCATAAATAGTGAACACAATTCATTAGAAACTACCTTTCTGAAACTTTTACAGCTATTAAAAGATGAATGAACCACCTTTATGTGTAGAAAATCCTTCCCCACACAGTGAAGGATCATACCCAAATACGCAGGGGAAAAACCAGTAGTTTTCCTTGTTTCCTTTTCTTCCTACTCTAATAGCTTAATTTTTTTTACTATTAATGCTTCCAGAAAAGACTTGCATACGTATGTGCAGGAAAATCTGGACTTCTGTTTTAACTAGCTATATTTCAGTGAAATTACATAACAGTACACTTTTTTGCATAGCACTTGCTGAACTAAAATGCAATGTATCAATGGACTTGAGAGGATTTCAAGAACCCACAGAACAGTCTGCCTGGCATTAGTGCATTTGACTAAGCTTTCAGACAAAGTTGCCTGAGCCTACTGCCTTATTCTTAGTCAAGATTTCCCAAACTGTTCAGCTGCATGCTGCTTCTGGATTAAAACTTGAGGGTTAGTTAACTCTTGTACTTTAAAAAGGGCATATTCTCCTTCCAAGCTCCAGAACAACAAGCCTTGTTATCGTGGCAGTAACCCCATCACACTAGAGAATAAATCCACTTTAAATCTGGTCTACCTCCTGCAGAATTCTGGGGTTTGTAGTTTAAGAAGGAGCCTTTAACAGCCTCACTAAACTACAAACCGCAGAACGCCTACAGGAGGCAGAAACCAGATTTAAAGTGGATTCATTCTCTAGTTTGATGAGGTCATAGGCGGCGTCTTTTAATATGTATTCAGCCCTCTCCTCTGGTATCCAGGGTTGGATCTTCATCCTTGCTGTCACACAGGGTCTGGTCAGGGAGCTATAGCACCTTTTCTCCATCATATCAGATCCCTTGAGATTAAAGCAGGAGGACACTACTTTCCATGGCCTTCCTTTTCCAATGGGACAGGAAGGTTTATAATAACCAAGTGGCTTCAATTTCCAAGTTAAAACTCCAGTCTTACAAAACAGTTTGGGAATCACTATATTGAAGGCACAGTCAGGAAATTATTTCAACTGATACCTTGCAATCCTTTGCAAGAATCAGGGAGACATCCTTTGCAGGAATCAGGGAGCCATATCTAGCTCTAAAAGCACATTTGCGTGTTAGAAAACCTTCATTTTCTCCAGTGCTTCTAAATGTAGGTTGGTAAGTGCCTAGCCAAGCTGACGGCACACAATTTTAAATGTAGCTCATAGGAATGGAGCACAGATGGAATATCCATAGAAGAGAGTAAGTTACTAAACTACCAGGATCACACCTTGGATTTCCACATAACCCTTTTTTTTATCCATTACAGAAAGATAGTTCCTTGTAACTGCACTATTCCTTTGCACCCTCCTTCCTCTACCTGATCCCTTCCCTTTATATAAAAGCTAGCTGGTTGCCTGGCATGTGCTCTATGTTTTAGAAAGTATTTGGGGAGAATGGGGGGAGTTGCTAAATAGATAGTTCCCTCTTCCCTGTTCCGAAAGCATGATGGTCATAGTAGCTTGCTGTGTGAATTGACAATTACGCCAAGCACTTTTACTGACAACCTCTGGTTATGGGACTATGTGGGCTATGTGCAAAGCATCTTTTCTAGACTGAAAGTGGGGACTGGAAATTCCCAGCTATCCAAACCGAAGGGTGATTGTTTGTTGGTATTGCTGGGCTAATTCTGCCCCCTGGACTGGACCCTCAGCCCCAATTCCAAAGCAGTATTGCTGTCCTCCCCCCTTTCTTTCTCTAGCACTTAATCACAAAGATAAATGTACACACTTTTGCAAAAGAAGGTCCTGATGTTTCCCATCAGACTTTTTCTAACACACACCACGGATGTGCCAGTTAAAGTGCTCAACAGGACGCGTGACAGTTTAAAAGCCTTGTTAAACTTACATAGCTTACTTCTCTTTCTAAAGTGCGACAAGGATGAATAGAATGGGCCAAGGTATGACAATTGATGGTTCTGCATGAGCTAGAAAACTGCTGTGGGGTTTTTCCTTCTATAACTTTGTCCTTGTGAAAACTTGTGACACATTAAAAACCACATTACCAAACCTTGATTCAGTTTGTTTGTTTGTTTAATTTTGGATTTGTTGTAATTTTATTCTTTTTTTCTTTTATTTCTGAAACCAAAGTCAATTGGCTGTTGCTGCTGCTGTTGACCAACTCTGATTTCTTATTTCTTTATATATTTTTTTCAAACCCTGTCCATTTGCTTGCATTTCCAGCTGCACGTGTCCTCCTATTCAACGTCTAGGTCCTCATGTAGCAACATTGTTTTCCTGTAGTGCCGTCTTGTCTTGTTCACTTTATCCCACTATTCTCACCCAGTATCTGTTCATCACCATCCATTTTCCCTTTCCCAGTAGTGATATTGACTTGATATTATGCTACCAGTTTCTTTAGACTCACCTAGTATCAGGAAGGAATACCCCTTGCTGCTTTGCCACCTGACCTGCTTTTTTGTAATGCTACATCCTGTTTCCTCCAATTGAGGAAGGGATGACCATATGAAAGCAGTTGTCCTATACATTTCAGAATTTTAAGAAAGCGGTTGAAGAAAAATCCATATTGTATATTCAAAATGGGGGACAATCAGATATTTCATTGGCCTTGGGAGAGAAAAAGCTCAACAATTCTGCCATGGTGGTAAATTCTCAATAAAATGGTTGCCCAATTTGGGCCTCTGAGCGCTCAGTCTAGCAAATGGTTTTTCGGTTTGGCCTTCTGTTCCTTCCAGTGAAAGCCAGCAGAAAATCCAGGGATACTAACTTGCTGGATTGTGCCTTGTAACTTGACCCCTCGTATTAATACTGCTTTCAATATATTAGTAGATTCATTTAGCAGAAACGGTGTGCATGGGGATGTTTGTTTATTTGTCAATTCATTTAAATATCCTGGTCTTTAAGTGAAGAGCCAAATGTTTATAAAGTGTTTGAACATGTAAAACTATATAACATGTATATATATATATATTTAAAATGTGAATATTGGTTGGTGAATCTTTGCACTAATTTCATATCTCTGCCATCTTCCATTTGAAATGCTACTTTGTCCTACACATATGACTCCAATTAATTTGGACTGTAAGTCAAAATGCATTGGCTTAACCAGCTTGTGAGTCACAGCCTGCAAATGTCACAGGATATTAGGAATCTTCTATGATACATTACATTTGATAGAATTTTCTCAGCAATACTTTTTGTTAGAAAAACTGTAAGGTGTGTTCTTGCTATGTGCCTTCAAGACCTTTTTGACTTAGGATAACCCTAAAGCAAATGTATTACAAGGTATGACAAGGTTTCTTTTCAGAAAGGGTGTCCATTTGTATTCCTCTGAAGCTGAAAGACTGTGACTTGTCCATAATCACTCAGTGGGTTCCTATGGCTGAGTGGGAATTCAAATCCTGATCTCCAAAGTTGTCGTTTTCAGATGTGTATTTTTCACCTCTTATGAGTCATAATATTATCCCAATGTAGCATGAAAAGATCTGATGACAAGAGAATAGCCAACAGCAAAACATTATCTTGGTGTCTTGGTTTTTAGGCCTGTTCCTGCGGTTATTTGGAGCACTGATCACAAAAATTACATTAGATGGTCCACATCAGCTCTAGTTTCTTAGATGTGGTTATCCTGATTTTCTATGAGCGAACACATGATGACTGTTATATGGCATATGTTCTGCATTTCATAAAATAGATCTGATGGGGGGGGGGGGAACTGGTGCCATTTTTGGAATCAGCTGATCAGATATACCCAGAAAGAGTTCTCACACTTGAGGCACCAAAATGTATGTTGTCCAGTGTTGTCTGACCAAGATCAAAGAGGTATCCATTCAAATCCTCACTCAACCATGATATATTCTGTTGACTAGACCAATGACTTGGGTGAGCCATAGTCTCTCATCTGATGATACATATTACAAATATAAAATTAAGATATGGAAGGTCCTTGATCTTTCAGGTACAATGTGGTATATTTTTTTTTTACTGTAACAAAACTTGTGGTTTACCTAAGACCATTGGCTGAATTTGTGGCTAGCAGATGAGCTTAACATGTGCAACAAACAGGCACTCATATTTAGTATTTCCCTCCTCTGCATTGTCCACCTGGGGATTTCAAGATGTGCAATATTATAGATTTTGAAAAGTGGGAAATCACCAACACACAGTTACACTCTCTCTTTTGGGGAGTGAGGCTACTCAATCAGTGTTTCAGTCAGTGCTAACTAAAGTTTTGACTATATGCACACAGAAATGTGTGTTGGCCAGATATATATGATGTGTGATCCATTAAAATGGTTCAAAAGCCATTACAATACTAGGGGAAGCTGGCATTTTGTTTTTAAAGTATAGTTAGTGAAAAATTTGTTACTATAATGAGAGTAACAAAATTTTGTTACTATTTCATTATAGTAATTACACATAATTACTATAATTGGGGAAACTTCAAAGGCTCCTTTCTTCATTTTTACAGCTATTAAGGTAGTAGTAATAGTAATTACTACTATTAAGGTGAAATCACTACAATGGTAGAACACATTTACCACTCTTAGTTAACAAATTTCAGAACATTTCACTTATCCACGGACGTTTGGGGAATTTTCAAAGTGCTTATAAACAACATTTTAAATAATAAAGTAAATGTGTTCCTAATTTGAAAGTATTATTTCCTGTTTATGTAGTCCCTACTTTGAAAGTAGTGGTTCTACACTGGGAACTTTGCTTTTGCACCAAAAATGGATAGAGGATGATGTTACATTGATGGACTGGATAGCAAAATTTGCTATAACACGATGTCCCTTGGACAAATACAAAGTTTTTTGCAGTTTAATAAACCTTTGCTATGTTTTTATGATAGAACCAATTAGGAAGTGACATTTATAAGCCAGGTATAAAAATTATAATTTATTGAAATTGTGGTTGGCTATGGAGGAGCAAATCTTTCTGATGCTGAGCAGTGCACTGCATTCTGGGAAATGTAGTTTAGAATAGGGCCTTTTGAATTCTCTGGCATAGGGCTCCTCCCTTCTCAAACTACATTTCCCAGAGTTCTGTGCTGTTCCCAGAAAACACTGCACTCTCTGTTCCCCTCTCCTAATAGCGAGAGGCCATTAATTTACAGAGGAAAGGCAAGGCAGGCACTAAGGGAGCTGATTTGCTTTTTGAGCTTTGCTTCCTTGTACTGAATATGAAACTGACTTTGGGAGCCTTCTGAGATTTACGAAACAAAAACAAAAAAAGTATGATTTAAGTTTTGACGCAGACCACATGCGTGCATCAGATATGGCATTGTATGTCCCAAATCATACAAAATTGATCCGACTTACAACGCTTTCTGATTTTTTGCACACACACACACACACACACACACACGTATATCCCTGAATCCCCTTGTCCCCCACATAAGCAAATCAGGAAGTACTATTCTCACTCAAAATTACCATCAACTGTAACAACATCATATAAGAGATCTCCATAACCACAGAACTCATTCATACATGTGGTTTCACTTTCCTACATCCAGGGGGAAATACTTTCTCTTTAGAATTTTGTTTTCAGGAGATTCTATGGCATACTTCCCCCAGAAGTTTTCATAGAGTTGAATTGGAGGACCTAGTAGAGGCTCTGTAGGTGTAAAACCACTGTCAGAGAAGTGCTCAACACCTGGTTGATTCCTGTACAACCCTGAACAGTGCAAGAGGATTGAGAGTGGATTCACTCACTCTACTAGCTCCCCCAGGGTTAGTATATTCATGGTTGTGACAGAATTGGCCAACTTAATTTCCTATGGAAGGGGAAACTCTTTATGATCCAGAGAGGCACAGCAGGTTTGCTTTTTAGTAATATTTTACTGGAGGAAGCATCTTTTTATTAACATAAATGATAGCTAAACCCCAGCTGCTAGATGTTTCACCTAACTATATATTTTTTTAAAAATTGTAATGCATAAAATGCTAAGAGATTGAGCATAAATTGTAAAAGCTTGTAATGGTGCTAGATATTAAATATACAGAAGGGATCTTCAGGATTTTATTGATGCCCTAGTCCATCTCCTGCTCAATTCCTTATCTGCAATTCATGGTCCAACTACGGCCAACAGTGAAGATCTTCAAAAGATCTTATAGGGCCACCATCCCAGAGAAAATGTTGAACATATTTGCTCTCAAATGCCCTTAATCACTCTAGGGGATGTGGGGTGGGGAGGGGGGGTTGCAATGTTTTCATTATTTAGGGTCTATTTGGGCCCAATAAAACTCTTTTATCACCAGGAGGCAAGCCAGATGTTGATGCCCAAATTGCATCCTGCTGGACAAAAATGCATTTCCTGGAACTAAAATGGAGTAGGGGGACAAAATGCCCTTTATATCATTGAGGTAATGGGGGCATTTGAGGGGGAAATGCCCCCCCAAAATTCTTTTTCCCAAAAATGTAATTTGTGCAACCCTGAGATATAGCATGCAGTTGGTCATGCAGACTTAGATTAAAACCTCTACTGAAGGAAAACCCATCACTGCCATCTGTGTAGCAACTCTCACTACCAAATAGCTCGAACTGTAAGGAGATTTCTCCTGATGTTCAAAATATTTTCCTTCAGTTTCCACTCATTTCAAGTCTTGAACTCTTCAGCAAGAAGAGTTTAAAGTAATTTAAAGACCTCAATCATCCCCCTCCCCCCCCTTCCCTAACCTTCATTTATCTTCTCTACCCAGCTCTTTTAACTATTCCTCATAAAATGTGGTTTTCAGACCCCACTTCACTTGTGCTGCCCATGTAACAGGACTTCAGTAACAGTTCGACTATTGCAGAATATAATATAACTGATCCAAATGTTGTGCTCCTGTTGAAGTAGCCTAAGCTCTAAATAGATTTTCAGAGAGTGCATTACAGTAGCTCCAACTAAGTAGGTCAATTTTGTCAATTATGTGGAACATTTTATTCTTTT